CATCCTTCTATAGAACTATCAAATTTTTATCACGATTAACTCTAACAAGTTATTTCATGATATTGGAAATGATCAGTATATTATTCTGTGTAATTTTAGTGGCCGTATCTTAATATGGAAGCCAACTTTTATGGAATATTTTTTAGTACACTAGCACGTCGCCAAGCAAAAGAATTGATTTATGGCTGCGTGCAAACGGACGCAACAACTCCCAATATTCTTGCGCCAACAATGTTCGGAGTTGTTGCGTGCGTGTTGGCAGTGGTGTGCAAACGGATGCAACAACTCCCAACAATGTTGGGACCTGAAGTGCATCGTGGGAAGAATACAACCCATAAGTCAAGCTGACTTATGGGCTGTTCAAATGGATCCAACATTGTTGTGCCACGCTTCGGCGATCACGGAACAAAAGAAATGTTGGGAGTTTTTGTTAGGTGAAAAGTTTGACCGGTTTCAAACTTTGCGCAACAACACGCAACAACATCCAACAACATGCAACAGGGTGTGCAAACGGACGCAACATGTAACATCCAACAATGTTGCGTCCGTTTGCACGGGGCTTATGAATGGCACAAGGCGGCCATCTTGGGTCGGCCATTTTGTTTTTCTCTTAATTTGCTTTTGTTACCTTGTGAAGTCTATGATTAAAGACTTTACATTTATTTATTAAGCGTCAAAGCTGAATTTTTGGGCAAACATTCCAGTCTAGAAGATTAAGTTACTATAGAGACCTTACGTAATAAGAAAAGAAATCATCTGCACACTCAAAGGATTAAACGGCACGACTGAGTTCGATGGAAATTTTCTCCCTTTTTGTTTCTTAATTATAAACGCTTCCAGCTGGCGAGGAAAAAATTACCGTCCCCCCTTTTTCATTTCCCTCTGGTTGTGCTCCACAATTTCAGCCTGTATATATTTTTCCCCTCTACTTGTCTCTTTCAGGTGATCTTAATGCAACTTTAATGATAGAAATCACCTTTGCTCGAAGGTGGATGAAAGGGTTTGTTTACAAAGAAATTATGGCTTTTCCCTTTTTTTAAAAGTCAAACACTTCAACTGGCTCGCCAGCCTGCAACCAAAAATGCGGTCCAAACTTTCTTCGTCGATGGTCTTTTAGAGGGTATCATCCTGATGGAAATTAAACTAAAGTAAAAATCATCAACAATTTCAGCGTTTGTCTTACCAAGTTAGGAAATTCCCGGTTCATATCGAAGTAGGTGTACTCGGCATCGTTAACGAAGTCTTTGGGAGCGGAAAACCTATCTTCGTCCAATAGCTCACAGCGTTTTTGCCATATTTGGTACGCTCGACATCTGCACTTCTCTTCGAAACATTTCACATGACAGTCATAAGCTTGGGACAAAGTGAAATTTTTATAGCTGTGTCCCAGCATGGCATGGTTTGTCCCCATTCGATGTCGGCCCCGACTTATCTCACATTTGCCTTGATGATGAGCGATTGTTAACCTCACAACACATCCGGCAAGTATGAAAAATGAATACCAGAGACAAAAAGATTTTGGAACTTCCATGTCTTGCAGATAATGAATCAAAACAGTTATGAGTACATGTTGTACAAGGTCCTTTTTGAATCTTGATTTTCCCTTGCCTTCTTGGTAGCATTTAACATTATTAGAATATTCGCTGTAGAAGTGCAGTTATGTATCAAGAATAGCGTGGGAAAAATTACCCCTTTCTGCATCTGCCGAGCATTGTCATGCTAATCTAAAATGCATAGAATTCGTAAACTGTGTTTGACTTGAGACGGGGAAAATGACGAGATAAGACCATTTCACCTGTCTGTCGACAAATTAGATGTCAGATATAATAAGAAAAGGGTAAAGAATAAATGTCTTATTTCCTTAAAAAGGGGGAAAAATGAAAAAAAAATACCGTTAATTACCGATGGAGGGGTCAAGGCTTTTATTGCTAAAGCACAGACAGGCATTTGAATGATGAATCCTTCACTTATTATTATAGTATGTTTAGAAGTAGTTTTATTTCTTCTTCTCTCCTTTTAAGATATATCACGAGACACTCATGGTCTTTCTTATTGTTTGTTTTCCGCTTTCTTTCTAATTTCCGTTTTTCGCAGAATGGATGATTGTAAGTGGTTAATCGGCTTTGATGCCTTCTGTTCTCGTGACATTTAATTTACTCACAGTTTTTAAGTCCACACATAGTTTACTTTCATTCAATAAAAGTCACAAGCAGGAATATTCATTGTTTTATCTTTGTATTCATTGTTTTATCTTTTATCTTTATCTTTGAATTTTAATATCTTATGAGAGGGAATAATTAATTTTCCGTGGTTTCACTTAATGTACAAGGAGCAGCTGGTTAAATTGCTTCTGTCACAGCTCACTTTTTGCCCCTTTATATTATTTATGGCTCTTCAGTAAACTGGCATGCGCATTATTGATTTATAATTATGCCCATTCTCGGCGACGCTGACCAAAAGAATTGCAATTCTGGAAACGAGAATTATTTATGCCGATTAATGAAGCGAATTCACTTAAAATCAGTTCACCAATTCTCGGTTTTCACATGACGTCACCAAAATTCAAACTAAGAAACTATCGATTCTTCTGAGTTTCTGAGTTTCATGAGGTATTACAGCACCTAAACACCTTTATTTAAACAGAGTTTTGGTTCGAAAGGGTTCTTCGTTTTGCGATAGAGGACGTTTGAATTTCTAGGCTTTTGCGTGACTCGGCATTTTGCTGGCGGCCACAACGGCTCTTATGTGGGTTAAAAACATTACCAATTTTGGGAGATTTTGCTGTCTAAACATTCCTTGTCTCAGAATAAATATCACTTTAATAGTTTATGAGTTTTTCAAGCGATGAATTAACGCATTCGTAGGAAAACTCAAAAACAGATAATTCTGTTGGTTTCCGGCGGCCATATTTGTGCCCCGCGAAGGGACACAAAACTGGCGTCGCCATACAAAGCTTTGTAAATTTGGGTAAAACGTTTTTCCTAATATCTCGCATATGAAATATCGCACAGACCTGATTCTTGGCGAGGCCTTTTGCTTATTTATCTTCTTTAATTTCCTAGATTCGGGGCTTTCTGTATTGAATGGTTTGCAATTTTATTTTTGATTGCGTGACAGTGAAAACCGAGAATATGGAATTCTAACAAATCTGAATTTTGCACTAACAAGATATATTTCTTATTATTAACGACTACTTTTTCTCATTATATAATGAAAATATATAGAGAATACTTCATGGAAAGTACTGGCGTACAGTATTTACGGACGAGTTGTTGACGTATCAGAAATCTTACTCGTTCGCTGCGCTCACTCGTTCGATTTCTGATATAAAAACAACGAGTGCGTAAATACCGTACAAAGCACTTTCCATGTGGTATTGTGTTTATTATATACATACCGAGACATTCATCATTTTGGCGGTCTTTTTATTTTAAATGTTTCAAAAATGCTTATTTGCCGCTACACACTTGCCGCAAAATGACAACGAAAACGAACTATCAGCTTTTTAGTAAAAGTGTTTGTTAAAAACAATAAATGACAGTAAGGACATGAGGTAATCCAAGAACTATAAGTAATCTTCACTGTTTGTTGTCAATGCACAATTGAAAATGAGTGAATTTAAGTAAAATGGCCGGTTTCAATATAAGCTTAAGCTTAAATGAAAGGCAAAGTAGCTCCGACAAAAAGCACAACAAAAGCTTACGTCTCGTTCTGTTTTTCCCTTTCCGCTGTTGTTTCGCCGGCTCTCTACCGTTTTCTTTATCGACAGTGAAACAAACGAAACTATTCCACTCCATTTCCGAAATGTTTTTCACTTTTTTAGCGAGAAAAACTCTTTGAGTAAAACTTTTCTCGTTGAATGTGTGCGAAGCGGCGCTGCAAGCTGCAATAAAAGGCGGGAATTTTGGCGCGAAACTCACACCTCTGTGGCTTCTGATTGGACGTATCATTTTTCTCACACGTGAAAAAACATCGTTCGCGATTCTGATTGGAAGTATCATTGTTTTCACGTGTGGAAACCATCGTTCGCTCCTCTAATTGGCTAGAACTAATTTGCGTACGAACATTTACGACATAGCTTTTTGGTGAGTATTTCTCAGTATGTAAAAAATAAAGGCAACAAATCTTCATTTTCGATTCTGAACATCTTATGAAATAGTTTTCGCAAAAGTGTGATATCAAGCAACCATTGCATTTTGTAGATAATAAGAAAGTGCAAAGAGATTTCAGTGATTAGGCATTTAGATTAGGGTTAAACATATATTTACTCTAACGACAATTTCAATGAACTGCCCAATTTAGATGATGATGAGATATATTTTAATTCTGCTCATGAACGTTATACCGGAGAGGTTTTCGTGCCAACGCGACACGTAAAGATATCCGGTATGTAATACGCCGGAAGACCTATCGGATATGTAACTCTCCACTTTGGCGAAAGGCGAGGTGCAGCTTCGCTCCGTTACAGAAATCGCGACGAAATCACCGTTCTTGTGTGTGAATAGAAGCCCTACCCGTTAAGGTTTTCGTGCCGGCACTAATTAAGGCTATCCACTATAGCATGAAGACCTATCCAATATATGTGACTGACTCCACTTTCGAGACTGTGGACCCGGCGCAGCTTTGCTGCGTTACATAAATCAAGCCGAACTCACCTTTCTCATGTGTGAACGTACAGATGCCCTTTCCGTTATGGTTTTCGTGCCGGAACAAAAACTATCCACTATAGTATGAACACCTATCCAATATGTGACTGTCTACTTTCGGGATGGGCCCTGCGCAGCTTCGCTGCGTTACAGAAATCGAGCAGCCGAAATCACCGTTCTTATGTATGAACAGAAGGCCTATCCGTGAATATAGCCTTAAAAAGTGACACTCGGTGTTCATTATGAAGAAAGTTAGAAAATTAAATGGCTGAAATTTTGTTACCGGGACCTAAAAAAGAATTCGTGGTTCCATTATGAGGAGAGATTCTAAAATCTTGATTCAACTCTACCTTGTTTCAGTCAATTAACAGTTATTGCACAGGGTTGAGCGAAATATCGTGTTTTGTCAGTGGCAAGCAGATCAATTATTTGCCGAAGCCGAATGTTGACTGAATGATTTTGCGATAACCGAGTTCAATAATTGTTTCATCATTCAGTAGCTCAGTTATTTTTTTTTTGACAAATATCCTTTACAAGCTGCCATTTTCACGAAAGAGTGATCGAATGAGCAGAATATTATTTGCAGCCAAATACAGTTGGACGACAATTCGCATGAGTAGACCATTATTTGTAGCCAATCATTTGTAGGTCACATGGTGAGCTCTCGCCCAATGAAAAGAGAGAAAAATTTGCATCGAATGATAATGAATTTTATTTTTACTTGAGATTTAAATGCCTTCCGCATAATCATGGTGTCCTGAATAGCATGGTGCCCGCAATTCAAGGTTTCAGTCAGCTGACTGAGTGAAAAGTTATCCCATGCGTGCTCCACTTCTTTTTCCTTCATTGAAAAGGCCTTAAGAGTTTTTATGATTATTAGAGTATAACTTGTCAAAGTCAATAAATTTCAAAGTATTAGAGCTTTAAGGCTGTCAACTTATAATTAAATTAGCGAAGTTATTGAACGTATTTAAACAAAATAAAGCGAGACGTCAAGTTGATAAATTCCTTTGTCGAGAAGAGCAATATAAAAGCTTACTTTGACTCACATGCAACAACTGACTTCGGTTATCACAACATTTTTCGTATTTGACAAGATCTTACCAATGCAAAAGTTACAAAACTTATAAGTTCTAAAGAAACTTTTTTTATGCTGAAAGTCTGCGACGACATTAATTTCAGTGACTCCTGTGCCCTACAAAATGACTTTGACTAAAGGTATGTGTTTAGCTGAACAATAATTTGGTCTTCACGAGAAAGGCAAACGTGGTAGTAAGTAAGAATGATGTATATCTGTTATGTTTTTATACCACCCATATTGACTTCGTCATGACCATGAACCAAAGGCATTGCCTAAATTGGACATAAATGGTAGCCAAGGGTTCCAAATCAAATCTGCCGTATTATGTGGTTTGTATTATTTGAATCGGCCGAATTTATAGTTCTTAACTAAGACTTTAACCACTGAGGAAATGATCGATTTTCTACATCAAATAAACTCTTGAGATTCTACGAAAAGATGTCATGAGATTGATCTTACAGCTGCTGAAACCAAGCGACCTCTGTTCAAACATCATGGACAACAATGCATAAGCTCAAACAGTAAATAATTCATTGATCTCCTGTGAGATAAAGGGGACTGTATCTCCCCAATAAGATGAACATTTTTTTTCCAAACAAAGTGTTAAATTAACGGTTTTAAAACTGTTTTGAAATTTGCCTTGTGATAGATAGCCTGTTAAATAACGAGCCATTTGTATAATTTCTGGATCATTTGTCAGTTGCTTTGTTTGGCCAGTGAATGTTTATAAATAATCTGCATTCTCTTCATAAAGCTTTCGAAGTTACATCTAGCACGCTTAATTAATTATTTTATTTGCAAGATCAGGTCTTTCCCTTACTTATACGTGCAAAGTGATACAAGCGTACAAAACATCGCTTTAATTCTGTTATTCAGATGATGCCGCTCAAATAAAGCCATTCACGGAGACTACTATTACACTAACAAAGGAGACGGCAGGCCTTGGTCTTGGAATTGTTGGCGGATCAGATACTTACTTGGTAGGTAAACTACAGTCATTCCCGGTCCATCCTCGGAGACCCAGTGGCAGATAGTAGGATCGAGGAAAAGTCTAAACGGGTGGGAAAAAATGGCGGGAAGAAAAGTAATTTTCGTGTCATTTTTTTCCGCCCGTTTAGACTTTCCCTCGCCCCCACTATCTGTCCCTGGGTCTCCGAGGATGCTACCGGTCTCGAATAGGTTCAGTCTCCCGTCTTGGGTGTCTTGATGCGCTAGCGGTACTCCCCAACCGGGTGAAGAGTGCCGTGCGTACGCCAGTTTCGCCCCCGCCACTACGGACACAGAACTGGTCACAGACCTTAGGCAATGTCCCGTATTAAGCACTTACCGTCACAAACATTAATACTCCTTTTATTGTAAAGAAGAAGGTTAGTATTGTCAAAAGGACTTCAGGTTAGCATTATCAAACCAAACATCTCCAACTTATAAATCGCATTTCTTCTTTGCGGTTTGTCTGTTAGAACGGAGGCCAGTTGTTCATTCATTACTCAATCTATGCAATTCTCAGCAAAACTCGCTTCTAATTGTTACCAAAGTTGTTTCGACCTTCTTATATCTCTTCTAATTCTCCCTGTAACTATTGAAAACCGCATGCTATCGTCTTAATTGTTGTTGTTGTTGTTTGTTTGATTTACTGATTTGTCACCGTCAACAAAACGAAAGCGTATTACTGGATTACACAGTTTATTACGACATGTCTATAATAGCGAAATTAACTTGCTATGCATCATGGGAATCAATCTTTGATAAGTCAAGGAATAAGCTTTCCTTGTCGCGATAAAGGCCAAGGGTCTTTCCATATTAAGAAAAGTTTTAAACAGCTCAGCAGAAGTTGGAATATATGCTGAGGAAAAAAGGAAAAATAGAAAAAAAATGTCTAGAACAATTCAAGAAATTACAACAAAAGACCTCCTCATAGTCTTCTCATTTGTAAACGGACACTGACATCGTAAATGCACTCTTACCTATTATTGGATGAGGTTTTAGTGATATCTGAAATAATCAAGGACGAGCCAGCCGAGCCGAAGGCCGAGGCTGATAACACTTACCGAGACCTTGATTATTTAGCATAGCACAACCACCGAATCTAATAATTGTTTTATTATACATTGGCTTGAATAAACCAGAATTAATAACTGTAATTGTCATTGGAAATAATGCATTGCTGATTTCCCCAATTAGCTGTAGGCTCTTAGCCAATGAGAAGACAGATAATGAGTACAATGTATAATAATAACTAATATCCTCATCAATGTCGTGAAAATAATACGTGGTGCTGGAAAAGAACTACAAAAATGGTCATGCTGGGAATTACACTGATTGCAGAGAGAAGTTGTCATCAATGTTTTAGAGCCTGGAGGCGCGGCAGCTAAGGATGGAAGACTTGCTGTTGGGGACCAGATCCTCGCGGTGAGTCTAACAACGATTACTTATTTAATTAAGTCTAGTTACCTATTTACATTGGGGTGTTAAAACCAAACAGCACCACAGTTCCAGTTCCTACTGCCCAGGTAGTGATGCAACGTTGGACAAATATCATTCGCACTGTATATGGGCATCTTAAGGTTTTTTTTTTTTTTTTTCGAATGTGTGCACCCAAAAATACACATTAACGCACACAAGTCCAAATCAGTCTATTCAAACAAGAATAAGCAACGGAATAACTGAAAATGTATAGTCATAATTTTAAGTTCCAGGACGGAATGTTCCAAACGAAAATTCGTATTCCATTTCCTCAAAGCCATTTATGATACCTGAGTTTCAGGACTTCGCGCCGTTTTTCGGTACATGCCGGAACTGACTTTGTACCAATCATAGTAAACGTGTTTCCTGGAAAAAAAAATTACCGGTCCTGAATTTTTAATTTGCTGACAATTTTCCCAAATCGTGAACCAACAGGTTTTCCCATGTCAGTAAATAAAATGGTAAACAACATCTGTGTACAATTCCGTACCATGGTGTCATTTCTTTGAGAACCTCAAATCGTCCAGGGCTAATGAATTTTTACTTTTGTGTAGTGCACCTTCGGAAGAGTGAATATCAAGGTAGGGCGAATTCCGTCGCTGTACGACTCTCTCACTTCTTCCACAACCAAGGAATCTTACATAAACCATGGGCTTGAAGACGAGAGAGGTACGTAATCTTCATTTTGTATTGCACGAGGAGTTAGTCACCCCATATAAGGGAATCCAAAACAGTCTTGAATTCTGGATTCCAGTCTTTGTCAGTGGAACTTAGATTCTAGACTCCAATCGTTTGTAGGATTCCGGATTCTTTCAGCCTGCGTTGCAGGCGTAATTTAACTCAAGTTAGTAACGTCTGCGAAGCAGCGCCAAAATCCTAGTTCTGGGCCTCCAACGGACTCAACGAATTACCGGAAATGCGTTTCTAATTTCCTTTCAAGCTGATTGACAAATCGACTGATGGCTTTTTAGGCAGGCCAATCATTGCGCTTACTCAAATCCTCGTAGACAAGTAGGGCCCAGAACAAGGATTTCGACGCTGTTTCGCAGACGAACTTAGCCAGAGTGTAGTTTCGTCGGTGGCGCAGGCTTGATTCTTTCAGCCGTATCTCGGATACCAAAGCCAAGGATTCCGGATTCTTAATGGAAATATTTCCAGGATTTCGAATTCACAAGTAAAAAAATTCCCGGATTCCGGAATACACCATTTGCACATCTCCCATAATGCACCTTATTTCCCCCCCCAAAAAATTGCGTAAGCATTGTTTTCAATTTCTCTTGGGACGGCTGTAATATCCAGAAGAAATGAAAAACAAAGGTTATGCAAAATTTCACTGGGGGCAAATAAGATGCATTATGGGAGATGCGAAAGTGGCGTATAAGGGAAAGCAGCAACAAGGTTAATTATACCAATGGAGAGAGGTATCTTTCAAAATTGTGCTGCCAAATCATTCAATGTCCTTCCGCAAATATTAGAAACTGTAGCGATTTCAAAGTATACTGTTGGGAAGTTAATGCTTACCTATTAAATAAAATTTGTAAATAGTTTTGTATTTTTAAACAAGTTTTGAACTTGTATTACTATTACTACAATTTTTTTTTTTTAATTTTAAATCTCTGTTACATTTTCATACAATATCCTTCCATAGGCCGATACTATTGCTTTTTATATTGTAGATTTCGTAATTTATTTAATTTGTAGTTTTTAACAGGTGAAGATAAGAGCCACTAGGTGGATATACTGTTCATAAGCCATTATTATTATTATTACTATTATTATTATTATCATCATTATTATTATTATCCGGATTCCCTTACATAATAATAACAATAATAATAGTAAACAGCAACAACAACAACTCTATTGACTTTATCTTCGACATGAAGATTTCAGTACCAAAACAGTCAATACAATGACAAATGAAACAAAAGAACAAATTTACCCAGGATGACTGCGTCAGTTTAGAAAAACTGCTATCAATGCAAAGTAAAAAGATGAAAACGGTAATATCTCGCTTTGCCTTTTCTGGTAGGACTTAAATCGAATTTTCGTCGATGGAATAGCTATGGATGGGGACAAAAGAAGACGAAAAAGAGCAAAATACCTCGTGAAAATGGCAATGATGCCCCTTCAAGAAGAAGATCGAAAAGAGAAATTATTTAATTATTGTTAGTGCGCGTGGGGGGGGGGGGGAGAAAAAAGAAAGTGGCTTAGGGTGGCAGGCCCCACTGCCGTGGTAATAATAAAACTTTTTTCAAATATTATTCGCACTTTATATGGTCATCTTAAGGTTTTTTTTTTTTTTTTTTCGAATGTGTGCACCCAAAAATACACATTAACGCACACAAGTCCAAATCAGTCTATTCAAACAAGAATGAAAACAAAAAAACAAAAAAAACTAAAAGCAGTAAATAAATAAAAGCGACATTGATTAAAGAATCTTAGTCAGATCTCCCTTTTTCGCAGGTCAATGGCGAAAGTCTTCAAAATATTAGCCATAAAAAAGCAGTGTCCGCCTTGAGATTGGCATCGTCTCCTGTTAGGATAACAATTTACCGTGAAGATCCTGAGTCAATTTTCACTTCATCTGAAGGTAATGAGTGACTTCGCAACAACTTTAAATTTATCGATCATATTGCTGGTAATACCTACCATCCGCACATCATAATTCGTTTTTGTTTGCTTGTTATCTTTTGTTGATTGTTACTTGTATTTTTGAGGATATATCTTGGACAACACCCTTATGTTCCTGGCATCCCATGATTCATGTCTTTCACTTTCTCCTTGTATTCTGTCGATGTAGAACCCTCAGCAATGTTTGAAGTGAATTTGGTAAAGTCTATCACCGATTACATTGGGCTTAGCATTCTCGCAAGAAAGTACGTATCATACAATATCATGGATATTTTGTGAAAAAAGCAAGTTTCTTAAGTTTCTGGAGACCCCAGGCGAGATGAAGGATAAATGACACGAAATATTCACTGGCAATTTCGTTGCAACACCTACCATAAAAACCAGAGGGAGGCCTCTGGACACTTACTGTTACCGAATCAGCTCCAGAATGGAATTAATTCCCTGATTTTTACTCGCAAGAGATTGTTCCTATAAAACTTTGTCTGGTAGATACTCCGTTTAGAAGAACTTACCCCAGGTCCTCCCGGATGACTTCTTTCCTGTTTTATATATATCCCCAACGGTTTAAGATTTACTGAGATTCCGGGTGGGTACCTCAATAAACCATTAGCTTTGTTGCTTCAGAAAAAAACCCTGACTTAAGGTTTGTTATTTCTATGCCAAGAGCTAATTAGTCCTTGTATCCTCAAGAAAGATCGTTCAAAACACATTTTTCAACTGATCATTATCAGTGTATTACTGTATTGTTTAACACCTTACTTCACTTAAATACTTTAGGGACAAGAAAGGAGTATTTGTCACTTACGTGGTAAGATGCAAAAATTCGTTCAAGTTTATTTTAGAGACACGCAGCAAAGCCTATAATTATATACACGTACATCAGTACGTATTTGATTTCATTGAGTACGTTGGTATGTTCTATCATTATCGACCATCTTTTTGTCTTTGTCGATCTTTACATCTTAGTCAGAGGACGGCATTGCTTACAGGGAGGGCTCAATTCACCAGGGAGACAAGTTGCTCGAAGTTAATGGCGTAAATCTCAAGAAGAGCTCTCAGGAAGAAGCGTGTAAAGCTCTTAGGGTGAGAAAAGGATTCTCGGCTTAAAAATAACCGCAGGCGTCCCAAACTCAATATGTAAGAGCAACTGTTAAAAATTAACTACATATAAATCCCATCCACTGAAGGAAAGCACTGGTTGTTTACTATTTACAAAATGTTTCCCAAAAATCTGGTTGGGAAGTAAACGGAACACGACTTTTGCGTCAGTACCTGCGGAAAACTTCCAGGAGCAACGGAATAACTGAAAATGTATAGTCATAATTTTAAGTTCCAGGACGGAATGTTCCAAACGAAAATTCGTATTCCATTTCCTCAAAGCCATTTATGATACCTGAGTTTCAGGACTTCGCGCCGTTTTTCGGTACATGCCGGAACTGACTTTGTACCAATCATAGTAAACGTGTTTCCTGGAAAAAAAAATTACCGGTCCTGAATTTTTAATTTGCTGACAATTTTCCCAAATCGTGAACCAACAGGTTTTCCCATGTCAGTAAATAAAATGGTAAACAACATCTGTGTACAATTCCGTACCATGGTGTCATTTCTTTGAGAACCTCAAATCGTCCAGGGCTAAGGAATTTTTACTTTTGTGTAGTGCACCTTCGGAAGAGTGAATATCAAGGTAGGGCGAATTCCGTCGCTGTACGACTCTCTCACTTCTTCCACAACCAAGGAATCTTACATAAACCATGGGCTTGAAGACGAGAGAGGTACGTAATCTTCATTTTGTATTGCACGAGGAGTTAGTCACCCCATATAAGGGAATCCAAAACAGTCTTGAATTCTGGATTCCAGTCTTTGTCAGTGGAACTTAGATTCTAGACTCCAATCGTTTGTAGGATTCCGGATTCTTTCAGCCTGCGTTGCAGGCGTAATTTAACTCAAGTTAGTAACGTCTGCGAAGCAGCGCCAAAATCCTAGTTCTGGGCCTCCAACGGACTCAACGAATTACCGGAAATGCGTTTCTAATTTCCTTTCAAGCTGATTGACAAATCGACTGATGGCTTTTTAGGCAGGCCAATCATTGCGCTTACTCAAATCCTCGTAGACAAGTAGGGCCCAGAACAAGGATTTCGACGCTGTTTCGCAGACGAACTTAGCCAGAGTGTAGTTTCGTCGGTGGCGCAGGCTTGATTCTTTCAGCCGTATCTCGGATACCAAAGCCAAGGATTCCGGATTCTTAATGGAAATATTTCCAGGATTTCGAATTCACAAGTAAAAAAATTCCCGGATTCCGGAATACACCATTTGCACATCTCCCATAATGCACCTTATTTCCCCCCCCAAAAAATTGCGTAAGCATTGTTTTCAATTTCTCTTGGGACGGCTGTAATATCCAGAAGAAATGAAAAACAAAGGTTATGCAAAATTTCACTGGGGGCAAATAAGATGCATTATGGGAGATGCGAAAGTGGCGTATAAGGGAAAGCAGCAACAAGGTTAATTATACCAGTGGAGAGAGGTATCTTTCAAAATTGTGCTGCCAAATCATTCAATGTCCTTCCGGCAAATATTAGAAACTGTAGCGATTTCAAAGTATACTGTTGGGAAGTTAATGCTTACCTATTAAATAAAATTTGTAAATAGTTTTGTATTTTTAAACAAGTTTTGAACTTGTATTGCTATTACTATTTCTTTTTTTAATTTTAAATCTCTGTTACATTTTCATACAATATCCTTCCATAGCCCGATACTATTGCTTTTTATATTGTAGATTTCGTAATTTATTTAATTTGTAGTTTTTAACAGGTGAAGATAAGAGCCACTAGGTGGATATACTGTTAATAATCCATTATTATTATTATCATTGTTATTATTATTATCCGGATTCCCCTACATAATAATAGTAATAATAATAATAGTAATAAACAACAACAACTCTATTGACTTTATCTTCGACATGAAGATTTCAGTACCAAAACAGTCAATACAATGAGAAATGAAACAAAAGAAACAAAAGAACAAATTTACCCAGGATGACTGCGTCAGTTTAGAAAAACTGCTATCAATGCAGGTCCTGCTACACAGGGTGGAGTGAAGTTCCTTACCTGACGTTTTATTAGTTGTATACGATCATTGTCATTCTCGTTATCAGTAAAAAGATGAAAACGGTAATATCTCCCTTTGCCTTTTCTGGTAGGACTTAAATCGAATTTTCGTCGATGGAATAGCTATGGATGGGGACAAAAGAAGACGAAAAAGAGCAAAATACCTCGTGAAAATGGCAATGATGCCCCTTCAAGAAGAAGATCGCTAAGCTGCCGAGATTATGGCCGAGATTCTGACTTTGACTTAGAAGGACTGGAACGAGTTTCTTCTGAACGTGAGGTTAGAGGTAATGCTGCCCGGATTCGTCCCTGAGAAAATGTGGTCTTTATTCTCTTTCGACGCCTTTGTTATTTTTTGCTGCATTCGAATTTACCTTTGAAGCAGTGCTTCAGATAAGTCTGCGACTATTAGTCAGTTCCGGTTCCCTGCGTGTGATGAAGTATGGTGAAAACGATATTGGTAACAACGATGGTGAAGGTATTGGTGACAATACAATAATAATGATGATGGCGATCATGAAGATGATGGTGATGATGATGGTAGTAATGAGAGAAGTCATGATGAGACTATATATCATTAGTAAAATCCAACTAGTGGTCTATTATCAATGCTGCGTTCTGATTGGTTGAGCTACTACTGGGCTATAAGTTATAGCCCACTGGTAGCCAAAAGCGCCGGCAATTTGGAGGGCAAAACATGATTAAAGTGTAGCTTTAGCTAGCTAAAGTTGTTTTGTCACGATATTTTTGACCAACTAGTTGGATTTTACTAAAACAATTATTCCTCTCGCCCTCATGGCCTCTGAGTCAATAGCTTATTCGGCCTTCGGCTCATGGGCTATTGACTCACAGCCCATTCGGACTCAAGGAATAATTGTTAATTATAACATTAATTGTCATAATCAGGGATTGTGTAGATCATGACCAAGATAATAGAGACTTTTAGATTGCTTCTGAGAGATCAGAGAAGGATGACAACGCGAAGAGATTATCTCAGTAGTAAGTAGTGCGAGTGCGTGAACCAGCGACATTTGGGCGGGAAAACGTGAAAGCCGTCATTCTACTAAGAGTTTTAGAAAAAAATAGATAAAAATGTACGTCATGGTAGGAACTAGTTTTGTACTTTTTATTTGACCTCAAAGTTTGCACTTTGCAGGATGGTAGGACTTTGTATTCCAAACTATCGTATGTTTTTAGTTTTTCGATTTTAACGGCACTGCACGAAAAACTGGATTTACACAAATTTACTCAGTGTAAATATGGTGCAAAAAAGGTGCAAACTAGGGGGAAATTAAAAGCAAAGATGGTAAATACCGCATTTGCTTGCCAGTTTACATGGGGGTGTAAATTTTAGGGCAAATGCGGTATTTACCATCTTTGCCTTTTATTTAACATCAGTTTGCACTTTTTTGCACCAAAGTTGCACTGACTAAATTTGGTGTAAATCCGATTTTTCGTGCAGTGCGGTTTTTGGCGGGAAAATAACACCACAAGATTGACAGGAAAATTTAAATTTTAACTAATGACGTAACAAATAATTTTAGGTCATTTAAAAGAGGCTGGCGAGATAGAAAAGCTCAATGAGTTAAGGAAATATTAAGCCTTGATTTTTGAAATTCTCGCCAATTTGTTACCATTTTTAGAAACAAACGCCCATTTCGAAATGCTATATCTCCTAAAGCAATTGAGTTTTTCAAAAGTTTACCACATTTGTTGCTATCTCGTAACCCTCCTTCAAAATTACCTTTTTGTTACGCCATTAGTTAAAAGTTAAATTTTGCTTTCAATCTTGTGACGTCAATTTCCCGCCAAAAACCATTAAATTCGAAAAACAAAAAACATATGATTTTTTGGAAAAGAAAGTTCTACCATCCAGCAAACTTGAGCACAAACGGATAAAAACTGCAAAAGTATAGTTCCTGAGTGGCCACATTTGGCGTCCTGTTTGCCCACCGCGTGACGGAAACAAGCTAAGTTATTAAATTTCAGTCGTTTTATCATTTTGTAATCGGGATAGGGTTTAGCCTCCTTCAACTAAATAACCGTGTAGACATATTAAATTCTGCAAGCAGAATACTGCAATGCTGATCGTACTACGTGAAAATTAACTCTCCAAGAGAGTTTTCTCTGGTTGTTGCGCCATACTGACGAGCCCCAAAAAGGGCGCAATAGCTGTCTATGTCTACAATCCCGCTCTGTTTTGAGTTCTTTCGGTGTCGTGTTGATGTCTTGTAGAGTTAATTTCTACGTAGGTACGATCAGCATTGCAGTATTCTGCGGCATATTCGTTTGCGGTCCTTTACAGTCCTTTGTGGTTAATGTTTGTACTAAATAACCATGTTAACTTTTCTGATATAAAAAAGGTATCTATTCATGACGACAAGTCAAGATCACTTCCAGTTTTTGTTATTATTCTCAGGAAATGCTTCAACTTTAAAATCCAGTGCAAAAAATGAGCAACCGAAGGAGAGGTTTAGATATATACATCCGGACAGGATTGAATTGACTCTTGCACAGGATCATCAACAAAAACAAAAATCCTGTCGAAAGGAAGGTAAGTTCATCTAAAGCGACACCTGAAACGATCGGTACTGATCACGAGGCGTTCCTGTCTGACTGATAGAAATCCGTAAACATCTTAACTGTTTTAGCAATGCTGATTGTGTATTGAACAATCACAACAAAGATCAGAACACGAAAGCCAATCCTTAAAACCACAAAATAAAGTGCCAGAAACCACCTTATTTCAACTCAAGGCAATGGTTGACTGTAGATAATTATTCAAACATGCTTTGAGCAAACAGCCTTTATCGATTTCATGCCCATGACATTTATATGCTACTGTGGGGCTCTCTTCTCTTTCATAGTATCATGTAACACCTAGTGTCTTCTCACATTTTCATGATGATAATGATGATGATGATGATTATGATGATGATGATGATGATGATGATGATGATGNAACAAAAATCCTGTCGAAAGGAAGGTAAGTTCATCTAAAGCGACACCTGAAACGATCGGTACTGATCACGAGGCGTTCCTGTCTGACTGATAGAAATCCGTAAACATCTTAACTGTTTTAGCAATGCTGATTGTGTATTGAACAATCACAACAAAGATCAGAACACGAAAGCCAATCCTTAAAACCACAAAATAAAGTGCCAGAAACCACCTTATTTCAACTCAAGGCAATGGTTGACTGTAGATAATTATTCAAACATGCTTTGAGCAAACAGCCTTTATCGATTTCATGCCCATGACATTTATATGCTACTGTGGGGCTCTCTTCTCTTTCATAGTATCATGTAACACCTAGTGTCTTCTCACATTTTCATGATGATAATGATGATGATGATGATTATGATGATGATGATGATGATGATGATGATGATGATGATGTTAATAACGATGATGATGATGATGATAATAATGATGATGTTAATAACGATGATGATGATGATGTTGATCATTATTAATAACAACTATTCTTTATTCACAGATTATGTTTAAAGGAGGCAAATGAACTGGACGTTTGGTCATTCCAATTAGCTTTATCTTAAGTTTGCACACATGTTTCTCTTTATCTAGCTGCATGATTTACGATGTAAGATGAACTGAATAAAAACGACAGTTTGCTCAGTTAAGACATTTGATCATGGAAGTGAGGGCTATTTGAAAAGATCTAGCAGGTTTACAATATTTGTCCATATTTTCCGTTCAGTGATTGAACTGGACTTTAACTTACCCTCATAATAACTAATCCTGAAGAGATAAACCGGATCTGAAGACGATCGATCTCTCATTTCCCTCATGCCATGTAATTAATGCAATGAAATAATAGTTAAAAGAGAAACAACGTTTATCCCTTCTATTATTTTTATTAGTATTTTTTACTTTGCCCAAGATAAGGAAGCAACCATGAGATATTACTTTTATGTCTATTTTGGAGCCAACTAAGCTTAATCGAGCCGGATCTGTGGTATCTTAAAGCTAAGGCTAACTGCATGAAAAACAATATATGAAATGTTAAGCGTGTTCGACATTATTATATTTTTGAAACAACATATTCGCGAGACCCGCCATTTTAGCACGATACTATTAAAGCACAAGTATATCGATGTTTCGCGAACCATTCTAGACAATGATTTCATTTGTTTGTTTGGAGCTGATAGGTTCAAGAGCGTTAAAAACGGTCCTCTTCGCCAGTGATCTAGGTCTATTAACCACCTCTGTTAAATTCCTCTGGGAAGTTCAAAGCAACAGTAGGGTCATATAAAAAGGACACTCCCCGACCTCTCATAATTCTCCCACCCGTTTTCAAAAACTGCATGAGGACGGTGAGATGCTGGAGGCTAGATTGAGTTTCTTTCCTTTTTTTACTGAGTTATGAAGAAGGTTGAATATGCGTGGTATTTACTGATATTTCCTGTCGCAGCCAAGTCTCTCTCGATCTCTCGAAACCTTTGTTCAACGACCATGTTCAACCTATGTCCCGGAGTGAAGAAGTCCCTAATTCTATCTCACCAGTTATTTGGCAAAATGCCAAAAATGATTGTAAATAAACTGAACAAAACGAAACAAAATGTAAAATAAACTACCGAAAGTCCATGTGCGACTAGCTACCTCAGCTCTCGTAAGGCCTTACAGTTGGTGTCTCACAAACGATCATCTCCTGTAAATGACCGCGACCACTTTTCAGGGCTGACTGCTTGATAATTTTTCATTTTCTTTAATCTCTTGTAAGCGACTACTTCACACACGGTCTGATATCTATGTTCGCTCGATATACTTGTGTTACTTAAAGTTTACGGAGAACTTTTAACGGCAACGTGAAACTATACATGTAGATATGTTCGGAACTCTTCTCAGAAGAGAATGCCTGTTGTTCGATTCTTGTAAGTGACAATCCCAGTATCTAGATCAGGGTATAGAAGTATCCAATGACGAATCCTGCATAGGTTAAGGGGAATATCACTCGTGCCCCAATGTCTATCTGGAGACCCAAGTTTGTCGTGG